TTGTAAGTCACTGTCTCCTTTTCTCTTGCTGCTTCTAGGATTCTCTCCTTCATTTTAATCTTGAGTAGTGTAATTATGATGTTCCTTGGTGTGTTCCTCCTTGAGTCTAACTTCTTTGGGACTCTCTGAGCTTCCTGGACTTCCTGGAAGTCTATTTCCTTTGCCAGATTGGGGAAGTTCTCTTTATTATTTGTTCAAATAACTTTTCCACTTGTTGCTCTTCCTCTTCTCCTTCTGGTACCCCTATAATTTGGATGTTGGGATGTTTAAAGATGTCCTGGAGGTTCCTAAGCCTCTCCTCATTTTTTTGAATTCTTGTTTCTTCATTTGGTTCTGGTTGAATGTTTCTTTCTTCCTTCTGGTCCACATGGTTAATTTGAGTCCCAGTTTCCTTCTCATCACTATTGTTTCCCTCTGCATTTTCCTATATTTCACCTAGCATAGCCTTCATTTTTTCATCTAATTTGCAACCAAATTCAATTCTGTGAACATCTTGATTACCAGTGTTTTGAACTGTGCATCTGGTAGGTTGGCTGTCCCTTTGTCACTTAGTTGTATTTTTTCTGGTACTCTGATCTGTTCTTTCATTTGGGCATTTTTTTTTTTTTTTGTCTTGACGCGCCAGTTACATACTAAGGGGCAGAGCCTTAGGTATTCACCTGAGTGGGGTAACCCATATCACTGCATTGAGACACTGTATGTAGGAGAGGGGCCCCAGAGGGAACAACGGTGCTTGCTCCACTGTGCCGGATTTCAGTCACTTTCCCCATTTTCCACCAGCAAATTGCACCCTTCTGGTTCTGATTCCCATGTGGGTGGGTTTGTGTACATTCTAAGAGCCTCCAATGAACTTTCCTGTGAGGCTGGAAGTTTCTCCCGCTGCTGCCTCAACCCCCACAGGTGTTTTCTGTCAGTGGTTTGAGGCTTTATTTTTCCGTGCTAGGGCCCTGGGTTGCACAGACCATCCAGCTCCCCAGTTTTTCCTCCTGCTATATCTGCACGTGAATGTGGGACTGAATGTGGGCCCATGCACTCCACCAGCCACTGCCTTGCTGGTCAGCTGCAGCCTTGCGCACCCCACTCTACAATTCACTGCCAGGTTGGGTCCACTAGCCACCATCTTGCCTGCCCTGGTCCTCTAACCGCCTCCTTGGTGTGAGTCCTCTCTGCCCGGCTGCCTCTCCTTACCCTTACCCTCCTCTGGTCTGGATGAATGTGTCTTCTTTAACTCCTTGGTTGTTGGACTTCCTTAAAGTTTAATTTTCTGTCGGCTCTGGTTGTTTTTTGTTTTTTAAATTTTCGTTCTTTTGTTGTGCAAGGAGGCACAGTGTGTCTACCTATGCCTCCATCTAAGAAGTTTTTCTAGCAAAGTTTCCATGTTTACATTTTATCCCATTATTGGTAGTTGTAACTTTGGTCACTTAATAAGGTGTATCCTGTAAGCTTTTTCACTGTAAATGTTCTCTTTTCCCCTTTGTAAATATTAAGTGTTCTGTGGGGTGGTACTTTGAGACTATGTAAGTATTTTATTCACCATCAGATTTTTTACTTCATTTATTTATTGATGTTAGTGTGAACTCATGGATTCCAGTTTTATTTAATGGGTCATAATTTGTTACCATCATCATTGGTTAAATTGTCCAAAATTTAGCCAGTGGAAGCTTCTTCAAGCTGACTCCTGTGCTTTTTCCCTTTTTTAATGGTGATAAAAAAATTATAAATATATATATATAAAATGTTTAGCATCTTAACCATTTTTTTAATCCTTACCCAAGGATATTGGGATGTTTATTGATTTTTAGAGAGAGAAGAAGGGAGGGAGAGAGAGTCAGACAGACAGACATCGATATGAGAGGGAAATATGATTGTTTGCCCTTTGTATGTACCCCACCTGGGGGTTGAACCCACAACCTAGGTGTATGCTCTGACTGGGAATTGAACCTGTAACTTTTCAGTGTATGAGACAATGCTCCAACCAACTGAACCACCCAGGCTGGGCCCATTTTTAAGTAAATAGTTGAGTAGTGTTAAGTCCTGTGGCTGTTTGACATGTTCTCACTATTCTTTGAGTACCTTTTGTCACAGAAAGATGTTTGAGATTCAGCTGTATATTTCTGAGCCCTGGTGTCATTCATTTTTGCAAGGCACTCTGGTTCCTTGTAGAAACTAAGATCTGGATACTACAAGTGCTTATTCTGCTTTCATATGCCAGTCCAGCACTACTGGGTATGTTCATTTTTCTCTCTTTTCATATTTGTATCTCTTTTCTGAAAGTGAGAAACCTGATTCCTGTTATCTTTAATATGTTCACTTATTTGTTCAGGCCTCTGTTCTTGTTTGTTCTTTTCTTTTTTCTTTTTTTTTTTTTTAAGATTTTATTTTATTTATTTTTAGAGAGGGAAGGGAGGGAGAAAGAGAGAGAGAGAGGGAAACATCAATGTGTGGTTGCTGGGGGTCATGGCCTGGAACCCAGGCATGTACCCTGACTGGTGTTCTTGTTTGTTCAAACCTCTCTTCCACTACCAATGTGTGAAGGCTGTCCTCACCCTGCTTGGGCTATATTGCACTCATTAGACAGCTGTGTTTGCTGTCCTCCACAGGGATGCTGTCAGTGCAGTCAGTCTTCTACCCACTGTTCTGAGTTTGCACTCTCCTCATAGACATTCCCTCTGCTTTTTAACCTCTCTAGGGCTCTTAACAGTTTACGTCTGATTATCCTCCCATGTGGATACACTCGCCTTGCTAGCTTCTGACACACTTCTTGTTGAGCCGTTCTAATTTTATGTGGATGCCCTCCTTACCCTACTAAGCTCTGACACTTTGCTCCAGGCTTTTTCCCTTCCACCCAAGGCACTTCCTTTCTACCCTACGTGGGCTGTGACTACTCTGCTCAACCCACTCTGGAAATACATACCTTGCACGGCCTCACCTAATGGTTTTTCAGCTGAATTGTCCAAGAAGAGGATGTATTAATAGGAATTTAAAATAAAACAAAACCTCCCTGTCACACAGTTAAAGATTTGGTATTATTTGCTTAATTTTCTTAACCTGGAAAAGAAGGTGCTTAGTGAAAAGTCTGGCTCCATTGGTGTCAAATCTAACAAATCTAAGAAATATTTTAAAAATATAAGAAAAAGGAAAGACAAAAAGACAAGAGGAACAAGACTGGAGTCTAATGAACTAGTTGTGGAGTATTGAGAAATGGACTCAGTGATGAAGGAGAAACTGCACAACATTATAGGGTGGTCAGTGAAAGGAAGGGCCTGATGTTTACTTCATCATTTCTGAAGCTATTACTGTGTTTGAGTAGTTGATGTTTATCATTTTAAACACAGGTCATTATGGAAAGGGTATATTTTAGTTGCAGTGTAGAAGGTCATATGTGCTTCATATATTCACACGCCAAGACAAAAATAATATGTAATCCTTTTAAAATAAGTTTGAAGTTTCCAAGCATTAATTTTTATTCTAGAAAATTCATCCAGAGTTCATCAATCCCTTATCATTTTAGCTAAGATGCCATTATAATTTTGTTTTTACGTATGGAAATGAAATCCTCCCATCAAGTGTTTCCTGATTGCATCTGAGTGCTTTTCTAGTCACCCTGACTAGAAATGTCAACATGATCTTTAATCCGTCCTTTTCTCTTGCTGCCCACTTCCAGTCACTTTCTCCTCTGTTAGTTCTCACAGTTTTAACAGTTTAAACACCCTGCCATATACTCCTTCTTGCATTCTACCATTACCTGGTTCAAGCTTTCCTTACTTTTTATGAGGTTTTTGCATTAGCCTCAATTCAGTTCAGTAACCATTATGCATGTACCTTCTGTGTCTTTGCCTTTGCCTATAGTGCCTCTATCTTAAAGGTAGCTAAATTAAATGCCTCCAGAAGCCAAGTTCAGGAGTGGTACAGAAGAGGCTATTAGTGAATTCAGTGCCTGCCTACGTGTGTTTGTCAAGGGGATTGTATTCATGCTGAATTGGGATGCATCATTGCAAAACTTTTCGTATCTTTATTAAAATTTAATCTCATTTTATAATCATGGATATAACTTTTATGTCTTCTGCTGTCTGGGGACAGGGACCTTACACTTAGTACTTTACATATAGTATTTAATACAATTTTAAAAAATTAGATACAAAATAGTTGGGGAGGTTAAGAATAGTATAGGAAATGGAGAAGCCAAAGAACCTAATATGTACAACCCATGGATGTGATCTAAGGACATGTACTTCCCCCCAGTGCTGGAGGGAGAGGGTGGTGCAGGAAGAGGGGTAAAGGGAGGGGAAAAATGGTACAACTGTAATAGCATAATCAATAAAATAGACTTAAAAAGTTAAAAAATAAAACTCAGGCTGTTATATAAGGTGTGCATTGATTCCATATTTGTAACCAAAAAAAAAAATTTAAAAACACGTAATTCAAATATATAAGAATAGTCTGGAAGGATATTTACTGTACCAAGATGTTAACAGTGGAATTATGACTGTTTTAAAACTTATTTTGGTTTGTCTGTGTGTAGACATATGTTTTTAGAGTATATAAAAATTGTTTATAATTTTAAAATATTGCTAAATTTAATTTTGGTCTTTAAGATTTTGTTAGGTAAATGAAACATCTTCAGTTAGACAAATAGTAAAATTTGCTGAAATACTGTATATCTATATTAAATATGCACTCATATGCTGCTAAATTCTAAAAATGCTCAGAAGATAAGAATTGTAATACAATCATTATTTGGATAAAATATTAGGACAGTTTTTAATACTATTAAGTGATAAAAACTTAAAATACTCACTCATATGAGATTAATGTGATTTTTGTTTCTCCTATAGGATTACAAATAGGATAGTTGAGGAGAGCCAAAGATAAATATTAAGCTCTGTAAATGTAATACTTTATTTAAAAATACAGTAGTGTTATTTCTTTTAATAGCATAGCTTTTAAGAAAAAAACAGGAAATCTAAATAATTAAAATTTCCTTCTTTTCTCCTTTTAAGGAATCAAGGAAGGACCGAGGTAAGATTATTTCTATTTAGATTTTATTTAAAACATGAGATTATTTTAATGTGTATTAGTAGTGGTGAAGAGAGGGTGCTGTTTGTATTCTGGAAAGCTCCATGTCAAACTATATAGTAGCTAATAGTCAGGAACACATTAGTATAAATGTCTCTCTTGTGTGGATGAATGGATTCCTTTCTAGTTGTTCATTTTTAGCATTCTGCTTTGACCTGAAATATACCCTCTCTCAATACTTATGACACTTAGTATTACCTCAGTGATATTTTAACATTGTTTCAGTGTGGTGGAGGCATTTAATTTAGCTTTTTGAGGGCTTTAGATTAGACCCATTAAGTCCAGCACATAATTTGAAGTACCTATCTCACAGTAGAGAGATATTTAATAAATACTTCCTAATCTTCCTTCGTGGTTAGGAGATCAGTAATTTATGTTTATAAATCTCTTCGATATAAAATTTTATAGTTTTGGGGGGAGATCTGTTATATAGTAAAAATCATTTAGAAAGAATGCCTACTATGTCTTTTTATTGTAAATCTCAATATTGAGTATTCTTATAAATATTTAGTTGTATTTGTTAAAATATTCAAAAATAAAAGAGCACCATGTATTCATACAGTAGTCATTAAGACCTAGAAAAGAATATATCTTCTGCTTATGGGAATGTTTAAGCTATCTAAGTAGCTCACTTTTCTCCTTTCTAGTACAATTGCTTTCTTAATACCCCTAAAGTATTCATTCATTCAGCAAATTCTGTTTTCCTTCTGTGTGCTAGGCACTTTTTGGGAGATAGATGCATGTATAGGATTGGCCAAAAAATCTGTTGAGTGTTTTCCGTAAAATAAAAGACACATTTTTCATTTTCACCAATAACTTTATTGATTTGGATATTTTGAGTATGGCGCCTGTCTTCCATGTGGTATAACATTGATTATTCTCTATTGATGTCTCAGTTTGATTGCTATCAACTTCAGCCAGTCTACCGGACTGTCGTCCAGCGAGAAATCTCCAGCATGAAACTTCACAAAACCACTTTTGACACATTTGATCAGTCACAACACCTTCTCCATACACGGCACAAATCTTTTTGGGGGGATTCCATTTGTGTTTTTAGCTTTCTTGAAATAATAAAGCATAATATGCCAAAAATGTTGCATATTGTTTTCCATCTTCAGCATTAAAATGGCTACACAAAAATTCAATTTGGCTAAGTTTTTTTAAAATGCATGCTGATATGACAGCTGTCACAATACAATCTAACAAAATTGTTTCGAATGAAGTTAAGGACAGCTAAGCACTACTAGAGCCATCTTATGGGGAAAAAAACAAACTTTTTGGCCAACCCAATACACATACACACACATATATATATATATTTATATTTATTTTTTTAAGGGTATAAATATAACAAGACATAGACTTTTGACCTTGAAGACCTTAGGGAGAAAAATTGTATCCCTATTTTGAAGATAGAATTTCTTCATCCATAGATCAGAGAAAATATTTGAAGTCTGTGTATTTGTAAAGGTAGATTAGCCCTATTATTCTGAAAATGGGAATAGAGTCTCTTTTATAACTAAGTATTAAAGATTTTTGGCTAAAGTTTTAAAAATGCTTAAATGACTAGAAGAGATTCACAATTTTAAAAAATTATTTGATTTATAATCAGAATTTCTGTACTTTTGAATATAAAAGTCTATTGTAATTAGCTCTGTTTAATGTGTCTATTAGGTGTCGTTCACTTTAAATGAGGATCTTGCAAATATTCATGATATTGGCGGAAAACCAGCTTCAGTCAGTGCCCCTAGAGAACATCCTTTTGTCTTGCAAAGTGTCGGAGGACAAACATTAACAGTATTTACTGAGAGCTCATCAGGTAAGTGAGAGTAGAATTATTTAATGTGATTCCTGTACATGTTGAATAGATTTTCTGTCTCAACATACACTCTAAGGTCATTACCAAGACTGTTCACCTATTATGGAATACCTCTGTTACTCATATCATACTGCTTCTCTTTACTGTGATTGATGAAATTTTGGCAGTTACTAGAAGTGTTTAATTTCCATTTGGGACATTAAGAAATAGAACAAAGCAGATGGAAAAGTGGGGTGCATCAAGCTGTCTTCTAAGATGTTGAAGAAACCATATTCTGAGTTTTGCCTATTTTGGTAAATTGATCTTCAGCAACTATAAGTTTTTTTAAAAATGCTGCTTAATATTAGGGAATGTTTTAGTCTGAATTTTTGCTCTCATGTGCTGTCGATACTAAGAGGGTCTGTGTAATGCAAAGATGAACTTTTTTCAATTAGTATAGACTTCCAGGGAACAGTGTAAAATATAGTTCAATTTTGTGTGTTTGATATAGATATTTTAACCATTCAGTAAATCAGGAGCAAGTGTTTCAGTTCGTGAATTAAATACAGAGGGAACTTTTTTGCGTCATATGTATATGAATATGTTTATTTTCATCATTTCTTCATTTTTAACCTTCACTGAATTTAGAACATTGCTATTAAAAAAAAAGTCCATTTATTTTAGTGGAGCTAATTTCTCATATATAATTCAAATTGGTTTCTGATGGTATAAATGAAAAGATCCGTGATTTTGTTGTATTTTCACTAAGCATTAGGAAAAAAGCTATAAAAATTCTAGTATGTTAAGAACATCATTGTCACCCTGACCAGTGTTGGTCAGTTGGTTGGGCATCATCTCACAAAATAAAAGGTTGCAGTTTTGTTTCCCAGTTAGGGCACATGCCTGGGTTGTGGATACAGTTCCTGGTTGGGGTGTGTAGGAGAGGCAAACAATAGATGTTTCTCACATTGATGCTTCTCTTCCTCCCTCCCTTATACCTCTTCCTAAAAAAAAAAAAAATGGATAAATAAAATCTTCTTTTAAAAAGTGTCCTTGTTTTAAAAAAGGAATATGATCAGATAAATTTTTTGTGGTATCTTGAATTGCTAGTAACTGCATACATTGAATTTTAAAAATCAGTCTTTTTTCCCGCCCGGATGTGGAGTCTAAAAAATGGTAAATTCGAACTTTTTAGTCATGTGATTTAATGCAAAAGAATCATTTTATTGCATTGTTCTGATGCTGTAATAATTCGTAGTGTAGTATTTGTATTGTGGGAGGTAGAAAATGTTAAACATTTTCTCCTGGAGAAGTTTCAGCCATTCAACACATGTTTATTATGTGCAACATTGTGCAGGGCATAGCATAGGCACATCTGGGGAATCTGAAATTTGTCTTGCTATTGATGGGATGTAGTAAGACCTATTGAACCTGTGAGGTTTTCTCTACTTTTGTGGTTATCCTGTAATGGAGGAGGCATGGAACCAAGATGGTAAAAAGAAGGCAAAGCCTTGAAGAAAATTTGAGGTAGGGGAGCTTGAACTTCCCCTGTAGGAAAAGGTATCTTATTTCAAAATCTTTATATCTTATATTGCTAGTTTTTCCAAAGCATGATTTATTCCTGCTACTTATACAAAAGACAGTAATTTAGAAAACTAAGATTTTTTTGTCCTCCAAATTAACCTTCCATTTTTAATCTTGTGAATCCTTTAGTTAGTGTTGTACTCTTTTTGAACATTTTGGTTCACATTTCTGGTTACAGTGTACTCCAAAGTGAATATGGTATTATAATAATTATCTTGGTAGGAATATGGAAAAGGATCAAGATTGTCATCCTTCTGGAGTTTGGACAATATGTCCTGCTCTGTAGAACTAATATAGGTCTAAGTTGCTATTAGATGGTATACACTATAAAGGATATTTTTGCTTCTTAATCTCATTAATCATTTATGTTTTGGGTAGTTGTTCTTTGACTCTGTATTTTTCTGTGCTTTTATTTTCTTTTTAGTGAAATGGGGATAGCAATTATTTACATTTATGTATAAATATATTTAAAACACTAGAAAAATACAGTATTTAATAAATGCTCAGCTGTTATTACTAATATTAATATTAGATTTATTTTTAAACACTTTAGGTTTGAAGTTTGAGACATGAATTCATTTTATTTTATTTTTTAAAGAACTTATTTTTATTTTTTATGTTTTATTTATTATTTATTTTTTTTAGAGAAAGGGGAAGGGAGGGAGAAAGAGAGGGAGAAAAACATCAAGCTGATGCCTCTCATATGCACCCTGACCAGGGACCAAACACACAACTCAGGCAGTGCCCTGACCAGGAATCAAACCTGTGACCTTTTGTTTTTCAGACCATGCTTAACAAACTGAGCCATACTGGCCAGGGCATGTGCATGAGTTTTTGCTCTCTCTATGGATATCACTTGATAAAATTCAGTGAATAGAGATGTTTATGTTTAGTGTTTTTGACTGGATGACCAAGAAAGAGCTGTGCAGTTGTTATTTATAGTTTGTTTTCTTTTCTGAGGAGCCTTGTGTCCTTTGTTATTTCTGCTTGTTAAGGCATCAGTTCTACCATTGGGTTACATGGCTCTGACTGTCATCATGCTTTTAAAATGCTAGGTATGTATGTATATTTGCATGTTTTTCTGTAGAACAGACCATAGCTCTCATTAGAGTCTCAGAGGAGTCTGTGACACAAAAACACTTCAGAGCCACCACTGTAGTGTTACCTTGGTTGGTCATGAATTGCCAAAAGTATAAGTAACTAAACCGTTTTACACTAAGTGTTTTTTTAATTTTTACATTGAAATATACACAAGTCAGACATTATCTTGAACGTTTTTATGTTTTCCCTCAAGCATACAACTATAGCTGCTTATTAAAAAATTAGTTCTGTTGTTCTGGTCAAGTGGAGACAGATAGATATGCTTCACTTCCTTGTACAACCAAAAGAAGGATAGCAACCAATTTAAAAACAAAACACAACCAGAACTGACAGAAAATCAAAGTGTATGGAAGACTGACAACCAAGGAGTTAAAGAAGAAATATTCACCCAGACTGTTTCACCAAGACAAAGAAATATGGCCCAAATGAAAGAACAGGTCAAAACTCAAGAAAAAGAGCTAAGTGACTAGGAGATAGCCAGCCTATCAGGTGCAGAGTTCAAAACACTGGTAGTCAGGATGCTCACAGAAATGATTGAGTATGGTTTCAAAATAAAGGAATAAGTGAAGGTTGTGCAAAGTTTACTAAAGCAAAATATACAGGGAACCAACAGTGAAGGGAAGGAAACCGGGGCTCAAATTAACAATTTGGAACAAAAGGAACAAATAAACATTCAACCAGAACAGAATGAAGAAACACAAATTCAAAAAAAAAAAAAAATGAGAGGCTTGGGAACCTCTGGGACAACTTTAAACATTCCACCATTTGAATCATAGGGATGCCAAAAGGAGAAGAGGAAGAGCAAGAAATCAAAAACTTAATTGAATAAATAATGAAGGAAAACTTCCCCAATCTGGCAAAGGAAATAAACATAAAAGTCAAGTAATCTCAGAGTCTCAAACAAGAGCACACCAGCACACCGCAATTACATTACTCAAGATTAAAGATAAGGAGAGAATCTTAAAAACAGCAAGAGAAAAGGAGACAGTTACCTGCAAAGGAGTTCCCATAAGACTATCAGCTGATTTCTCTAAAGAAACCTTACAGGCAAGAAGGGGCTGGAAAGAAGTATTCTAAGTCATGAAAGGCAAGGACCTACATCCAAGATTGCTGTATCCAGCAAAGCCATTAATTTAGAGTGCAAGAACAGATAAAGTGCTTCCAAGACAGCATAAAGCTAAAGGAGTTCATCATCACCTAGCCCTTGTTGTATGAAATGTAAAAGGGATTTATCTAAGGAAAAGAAGATCAAAACTATGAACAGTAAATTGACAACAAGCTCAGAACTGTCAACAACCAAACCTGAAAAACCTAAAACGAAGTAACCAAACAGCTAGAACAGGAACAGAATCCCAGAAATGGAGATCACATGGAGGGTTATCAGTTGGGAGGTAGAGAAGGGAGAATGGGGGAAGTGACAGGTAATAAGAAACATAATTGGTAGGTACAAAATAAACAGGAGGAGGTTAAGAATAGTGTAGGAAATGGAAGCCAAAGAACTTACATATAAGACCCATGGACATGCTCTAAAGGGGGGAGAAGCTGGAGGGGTATTAGGTGGAGGGGGATGAAGGGGAGAAAAAAATGGGATAACTGGGATAGCATAACCAATAAAGTATACTTAAAAAGTTACTTTTTAGCCCTGGCTGGCGTAGCTCAGTGGATTAGCGCGGGCTGCAAACCAAAGTGTCGCAGGTTCGATTCCCAGCCAGGGTACATGCTTGGGTTGCAGACCATAACCCCCAGCAACCGCACATTGATGTTTCTCTGTCTCTCTCTCTCTCTGTCTCTCTCTCTCTAAAAGTGAATAAATAAATAAAAAAAAGTTACTTTTTAAAAGATCCTCATTAGAAAATATGTTTATTGATTTTAGAGAGAGAGAGAGATGGAGGGTGGGCGAGAAAGAGACACATTGCGAGAGAAATACACCAATTCGTTGTCTCCCGTATGCGCACCTACCAGTGACCTGGCGACCAAACCCAGAACCTAGGCTTGTGCCCTGACTGGGGATCAAACTTGCACCTTTTGGTGGACGGGAGGATGCTTCAATTAGCTGACCATCGGGCCAGGGCTTAAAAAATTACTTTTTAGGCTCTTCATTTCTTTTTAATAGTGCAACGGGTCAATAAAACAGGGAATTTTCTAAGAAAAATTAAAACCTACTTGAGTTTATTATGTTGAATTTATTTTTAATATTTTTAGTCTTTGTTATATTTTTGCATGGCCCATTTTCTTTTCTTTTTTTTTTTAACACTGTCCTAGGATAGAATGGACCACCTCAGTAGCTTCTGAGGCCAATACATTTCTATCACCACAATTACTTTAGCAAACCTGGT